AGTGTATGGTACAGTTATTGTTGAAAGAATTAGACGAAGAGAGAGAGAAGGATTGCAGATGAGGAAGGAGGCTTTAGAATGGTTAAGGGATGTGTAGATCAAGTGTTTACATTGAAGCATATATGGAAACACTGCCAACAATCCATATATATGAACAGTACCAGACCATCATGTAAAAGGAATGAGGCACTACAGAGAAAGCAGAGAAAGGGAAAATAAACAGCAGTCTTTTTAGACATGAGAACTTTTCACCATTGAACATGACATTGTGGTGATAAGTTCCAGCTGCTGAGGTATGGAAAGAATGAAGAACTCAAAAGGAACACTATATACAAAACTCAAAAGGGCCACCAAATAGAACGAAAGAAACACATAAAAGACCTGGGAATAATTATGTCAGCTGACCTTTCTTCTAAACACCATAACAAAACAAAGATCACAACAGCCAGGAAGATGATGGGGTGGGTATTGAGAACTTTCAAAACAAGGGAAATAATGCCAGTGGTGACACTCTTCAAATCGCTAGTGCTCCCTCATTTAGAATATTGCTCAGTGCTGATGGCCCCATTCAAAGCAGGAGAAATATCTGAGCTGGAACAAATATAGAGACCATTTACAGCTCATATTGAACCAGTAAAGCAACTAAATTACCGGGAACACCTTTAAGTCATGAACATGTACCCAATGGAGTGGAGGAGAGATACATAATAATACATATATGGCTGGAAAGTACTCGAGGGCCTGGTCCCAAATCTGCACACTGCCATAACAACATACTGGAGTGAGAGATATGGGAGGAAAAGGGGTGCGGTGGGGACAATAAGGGAACACTGTATCAACATTCGGGGTCCCAGACTATTCAACATCTCGCCAGAAGATATCAGAAACATGGCTGGAACAAGTGTTGAAGCCTTTAAGAGGAAACCGGACATGTATCTTCTCCAGGTGCCAGATCTACCAGGCTGTGATGGATATGTGGGGCAGCGGGCCTCCAGCAGCAACAGCCTGGGTGAGCAGGTAATCACCGAATGAGCCTGGCCCATAGCCAGGCTCCGAGAGTAGTGAAACTCTGAACTCTTCAAAGGTATATCATAGGTATACAAGTTTTTGTTGCATTTATGGATTTACAAAAGGCATATGATAAAGTGGATAGGAGAGCAATGTGGCAGATGTTGCGAGTGTATGAAATAGGTAATAAGTTTACTAAATGCTATAAAGAGTTTTTATGAGGATAGTGAGGTTCAGGTTAGGGTGTGAAGGAGAGTGGGAGATTACTTCCCAGTAAAAGTAGTTCTTAGACAGGGATGTGTAGTGTCACCATGGTTGTTTTACATATTTATAGATGGGGTTGTAAAAGAAGTAAATGCTAGGGTGTTGGGGAGAGGGGTGGGATTAAATTATGGGGAATCAAATACAAAATGAGAATTGACACAGTTACTTTTTGCTGATGATTCTGTGCTTATGGGGGACTCTAAAGAAAAGTTGCAAAGGTTAGTGGACGAGTTTGGGAGGGTGTGTAAAGATAGAAACTTAACAGTGAACGCAGATAAGAGTGAGGTAATGAGGGTATCAAACAATTTAAAGAAAAATTGGATATCACATTGGAGGGAGGGAGTATGGAAGAAGGGAATGTTTTCAGATATTTGGGAGTTGACTTGTCAGCCGATGGGTTAATGAAGGATGAGGTTAACCATAGAACTGATGAAGGAAAAAAGGTGCGTGATGTGTTGAGGTATCTGTGGGGACAAAAAAACGTTATCTATGGATGCAAACAAGGGAATGTACAAGAGTACGATGGTTCCATCACTCTTATAAAGGTGTGAAGCACGGGTTGTAAATGCTGCAGCAAGGAGGTGGCTAGAGGCAGTGGAGATGTTGTGTCTAAGGATAATGTGTGGTGTAAATATTATACAGAGAATTTGCAGTGTGGAAATTAGGAGGAGGTGTGGAGTTATTAAAAGTATTAAAGGGTTGAAGAGGGATTGTTGAGGTGGTTTGGTCATTTAGAGAGAATGGAACAAAGTAGAATGACTTAGAGAGCTTATAAATATGTAGGGGAAGGAAGGCGGGGTAGGGGTCATCCTTGAAAAGGTTGGAGGGAGGGGGTAAAGGAGGTTTTACAAGTGAGGGGCTTGGACTTCCAGCAAGTGTGTGTGAGTGTGATAGGAGTGAATGGAGATGGGTGGTTTTTGGGACCTGACGAGCTGTTGCAGTGTGAGCAGGGCAACATTCTGTAATGGGAAGTACAATGGGGTTTGGGATATTGGCAGTTTGGAGGGACGTCTAAGTTGTTGTATCTGAGCGCCTTTGCAAAGACAGTAATTGTGTATGAGTGATGGTGAAATTGTTGAATGATGATGAATGTTTTTCCTTGCTTTTTGGGTCACTCTGCCTCAGTGGGAAATGGCTGATGTGAAAAAAAAAAATGCAGCTCTGATATTCCTGGGAATGGTAGGAAGCCTAACAGCAAATTGAACTTGGTTCATCGTTTCTTATGCCTACATTATGTTTTGGTGCCACACTCGTTAGAAACTACTACAGTGGACCCTCAACCAGCGATATTAATCCTTTCCTGAGAGCTCATCGTTAGTCAAGTTAATTTTCCCCATAAGAAATAATGGAAATCAAATTAATCCGTGCAAGACACCCAAAAGTATTGAAAAAAAAAATTTACCACATGAAATGTTAATTTTAATACACACAAACTGAAGATTACATGCACAGTTACATGACACTTACCTTTATTGAAGATCTGGTGATGATTGATGGGATGGGAGGAGGGGAGAGCATTATCTTCTTACTGTTTAGAAGGGGAATCCCCTTCCATTAGCACTTGAGGCAGCAAGTCTTTTTCTGGGGTTACTTCCCTTGTTCTTTTAATGCCACTAGGACCAGCTTGAGAGTCACTGGACTTCTGTCGCACAACATATCTGTCCATAGAGGCCTGTACCTCTCGTTCCTTTATGACTTTCCTAAAGTGGTTCACAACATTGTCAGTGTACAGGTTGCCAACACGGCTTGCAGTAGCTGTGTCAGGGTGATTATCATCCATAAAGCTTTGCACTTTAAGCCACATTGCACAGATTTCCTTAATCTTAGAAGTAGGCAACTTCTTCAATTTCTCTCTCCCCTCCTCCGAAGCAGTTTCCTCAGGTCTGCCCTCTTGCTGTTCAAGATGATCTAGCAGCTCATCAGTGGTTAGTTCTTCACTGTCCTCCACCACCAACTCTTCCACATCCTCCCCACTAACCTCCAACCCCAAGGACTTCCCCAATGCCACAATGGATTCCTCAACTGGCATAGGATTCTCAGGGTTAGCCTCAAACCCTTCAAAATCCCTTTTGTCTACACATTCTGGCCACAGTTTTTTCCAAGCAGAGTTCAATGTCCTCTTAGTCACTTCCTCCCAAGCCTTACCTATAATGTTTACACAATTGAGGATGGTAAAATGATCTTATCAAAACTCTCTTAGAGTCAGTTGAGTTTCTGAGGTCACTACAAAGCACCTTTCAAACATAGCTTTTGTGTACAGTTTCTAGAAGTTGGAAATAACCTGCTGGTCCATGGGCTGCAGGAGAGGAGTGGTATTAGGAGGCAAAAACTTCACCTTAATGAAGCTCATGTCCCTAGAAAGTTGCTCTGCCACATCTGTAGGATGACCAGGGGCATTGTTTAATACCAGGAGGCACTTAAGGTCTAATTTCTTTTCAATTAGGTAATTTTTCACATCGGGGGCAAATGCATGGTGTAACCAGTCATAGAAAAAGTCCCTAGTGACCCATGCCTTACTGTTTGCCCTCCACAGCACACACAAATTATCCTTGAGGACATTGTTTTTCCTGAACACTCTGGGGGTTTCAGAGTGATACACCAATAAAGGCTTCACTTTGCAATCACCACTAGCATTGGCACACATCAACAAAGTAAGCCTGTCTTTCATAGGCTTATGTCCTGGGAGTGCCTTTTCCTCCTGAGTAATGTACGTCCTGCTTGGCATTTTCTTCCAAAACAGGCCTGTTTCGTCACAATTAAACACTTGTTCAGGTTTCAGTCCTTCACTGTCTATGTACTCCTTGAAGTCCTGCACATATTTTTCAGCCGCTTTGTGGTCCGAACTGGCAGCCTCACCATGCCTTATCACATTATGAATGCCACTACGCTTCTTAAATCTCTCAAACCAAGCTTTGCTGGCCTTAAATTCACTCACATCACTAGTTGCTGGCATTTTTTTAATTAAATCGTCATGCAACTTCCTAGCCTTTTCACATATGATCGCTTGAGAGATGCTGTCTCCTGCTGTCTGTTTCTCGTTTATCCACACCAATAAAAGTCTCTCAACATCTTCTATCACTTGCAATCTCAGTTTCGAAAACATAGTTGCACCTTTGGCAAGAACAGCTTCCTTGATTGCTGTTTTCTTGCCCACAATAGTAGCGATGGTTGATTGGGGTTTATTATACAACCTGACCAGCTCAGAGATACGCACTCCACTTTCATATTTATCAATGATCTCTTTCTTCATCTCCATAGTAATTCTCACCCTTTTTGCTGTAGGGTTGGCACTAGAAGCTTTCTTGGGGCCCATGGTGACTTATTTTGCAGGTGCAATCACTAAAAAGGCTGTGATAATATGAAATGTTCCAGTTGTATGTTTGGAAGCGACCGCGGTGGCTGGCTGGCTTGTAAACACTGGCACCAAAGGGACAAGTGAGGCGCGCTCAGGCCAAAGTGGACGTGTATGGTACGGAACGAAAAGCGCTGGTCGGGTTTTTAAGCGCTAGTCGAGGCAAAATTTTTGCGTTTAAATGAATCGCTAGTCAGATTTATCGTTAATCGATGCAATCGCTGGTTGAGGGTCCACTGTACATTTTTTTTCAACAAACAGGCTGCCGCTGCGACGGCTGATGATGATGATAAAAGAATAATAATTCCCTAATATTTTTCCACCCTCTGAAATGATTTACAGTATGATATAGAATCTAATAAATATTTTCCATCAGGTTCAGTGGGCTGCTAACATTGGAAGATCTTTGTGAGGTAGACCCTGAGCGAGGAGCTTTCATGCAGCAGCTGAAATCTCTGTCAGCTATTAAGCAGCAGATCCTCAATGACACAATCCTCTCGGAGGAAGACAGGCGTTGCAACTTCATAATTTGGCCCTTCCCTCAACTCCTGATAACCAGGGAGCAGAACAGCCAGCAGTTAGATTAGAAGATCTTTGTCTCACCATGCAGTATGCTGCTCCCTCCAGACACTTGGGATATACAGCAATTGAACTACGAACAGGCGGAGCTGATCAAGAAGTGACTCTTACTAATGTGGAGGATTATATTGACTTTACTCTTAGCTGGGCCTTAGAAGTAGGTATTAGAAGGCAACTTGAAGCTTTCCGATCAGGATTCTGTCAGGTGTTTCCCTTGAAGAAATTGGGAGCATTTAGCCCAGATGAACTGAGACTCATGTTGTGTGGTGACCAAGCTCCTATATGGACACGTGAAGATATTCTAGCATACACTGAGCCTAAGTTAGGATATACTCGAGACTCTCCTGGGTTCTTGAGACTCGTAAACATACTTGTAGGATTGACAGCAGAAGAACGAAAAGCATTTCTACAGTTCACCACTGGTTGTTCGTCATTGCCACCTGGTGGCCTTGCTAATCTTCATCCTCGCCTTACTGTAGTACGCAAGGTAAGAGTAAATATTTCATTTAAGCATTCTTGTAGATTTGTACCTTACTGAGGTTGTAGTATCATTTTTTAATACAAATTATGAACAGCTTTTGAAGGAACAATGATTAAGTTTCCCTCTGAATTACCTTACTTTGGTGGGAAATCCTCTTCAAGGGGGGCTCATTGACGTGGTGAAGAGGCTCTTGGTCTGAGGAATTAGACCTGTCGGTCTCCTTCCTCAGACCGAACCTAATTACCCCCCAATCCCCCATTCCCTATCCCATCCTTCCCTTTTTCCTTTCCTCCTCCTCCTCCCCACCCCTCCCTTTTGCCCCCCCCCCCTTTTTTTTTTTTTTTTTTTTTTATCCCCACAGGCACGCTAGTTCCTAGGTAGGGGAACGGGTACCAGGGTCCATCCCATTCCGTTGAGGTTCTTGGCAGTGGCGTAGTTTGCCGTGGAATCTGGATTGCCTGGGGGATGTCCCGATCCCTCTCCGGTACCCGGAGGGTGGCTTTGGTGTCTCTCGGGCGACGGGTTTGTATCTCTGGAACCCACCTTTCGGATTCGGGGGTGGTGGCCGAAGGAGGTATGCTTTTTTGGCAGATTTCCGGCCGCCCTCTCTTTTGTCCACCGAGGTAGCTGGGCAGTTTGTGAGGTTGCTATCCCGGATTGCCGGTTTACTGACATGATGGGTAGGGTATGGCAGGGGTTTCCATGCTGCATCTGCGCTACTTGCGGTGCTGAGGTCCTCTTTGGCGCGGAGGGAGTTTTCCCTGGCCCTTTCATTCCCCTAGGAGCTATCCCTCCCCAGTCCCCCTTTTTTTATTCTTTTTTTTATTTTTATTTTCTTTTCTTTTTCTTTTTTTTTCTTAAAAACAAAAAGAAAGAAGTAACCTAACCATGGCAGCCCTATCCAGGGAAACCTGCTACCCCCGGGCCCCTTCTTGATACACACACCCGTTCTGACCCCGCCTCGTCTTTGGACCACTCTTGGGAACACCCCTCATCCCTCTGTACCTCTTGCGGGTGCTGTTTCCTCACCCGCTTCAGGTACTGAGGCCTCAACTGACTCCTTCGATTTATCTGACCTTCGCTCTCCTCTGACTATCTTTCCGGCCCCTCCCTCTACGGTGCGGAAATTTTCGAATCGCCTACCCGTTCCACGTCGGACCAACTCTGTCCCACGCCTAAATGCCAACGACAATTACCTGCTGATGATACTTTCTCCACCTTCTCGTTCTTTCAGAAAAGATCGACACGCCCTTTCACTACCTTTCCACACTCAGTTTCAGACTGCAAAATGGACTAAATTCTCCACTTTACGACCGACTTCCTCTACTGCCTATCTTTCTGACCACAGTATTGGCAAGGCACTCCTACGCCATGTTGTAAAGATATTCTTTTCATGTCTTAAGAGCGGTACGCGCATCATAAACCTTACAGAATGCTACCCAGGCTCTATGAGTTTCTCGTCTTTCCCATATGGGAACTGTCCTGTCACTATTGAAAAACATCATTCCCTCAATTCTTGTAGTGGTACCGTCATTCTGCACCATACCATAGTTCAACAAAATTTCCAGACATGTGGCACTGACATTCTTGAACAGCGGAACTCCAAAATCTCCCCAATCCTCAAGGTAAACACTTATGTTCTTCCTGCCCGCGGGCGGAGACAATACCCATAGCAATGTGGCTCGTTTAACTTTTGACAGCTGTGAACTCCATCCTCAGTTTATGTAGCAGGACATTGGTTACAAGTTGAAAGGTGATCCCTACACCGTAACAGGTAGAAATTGCTGGCGATTTGGCCATCCAGCGAAATATTTCAGATCTATCGCCGAATGCCCAGTCTGTGGTGCCGATGACCATTCTAATACGTCTTGCAATCGACCTCCCTCTTGCCTTAAATTTTCATGAGGCTCGCCCTTCGTACCCCCTCGCCGTTGTCAAGTCTACTTAAACGAGCGGGAAATCCGTTTCCTCAAAGAGGCAGAAGGTCTCCCTTATGCCCTGGCAGTTTCTCATCTCCGCCTTCAAGGAGACTACCTCGTGTTTTTTTATTTCCCGTGTTTCAAAACGTCCCCCCACTTCTGGTATCCCATCTTCTGCACCCACCTCTGTGGTTACCTCTCCCATAGTCACTCCTGTATCTAATTCTTTTGCTGTCCTCGGGTCAGACATCTCTACTTCAACGCCTCGTCTGATCTCGCTTCTTCGTGTTCTCTCTCACAAGCCTCAGTAGCGACGAGATCTCGTATGACACCTCCTCCCAATCGTCCCTCTACTTCTCAAAAGTCAAAAAAGACCGTTAACACCTCCTACCCATCTTCCACCTCCTCATTTTACCTTCCCTGTCTCTGTACCTGGTTTCTCCCCCTCTCACTGGCTCTGTTACAAGTGTAGAGTTCACCCTCCTCCTCGTACTGTACCTTCCTTCCCTGTTCCCTCCCAGGTTTCTGCCTCTTCTGTCCCCTTCCATGCTTCTCCAGTTCCCTCCACCCTTTCGCCCCCCCCTACCTTGGTAGAGTCCAATACAGTTCCAATCTTTACTCATCCTCCCCCTACCATTTCCAATATTGTCTCCCATACGACGTCTCTGAATTCCGAAACACTTGAAGCAATCTCTGAATATATTGCAGAGACCAAACCATCAATGGACACTGATCCACCCTCCCTCCTTCTCTCTCCTCTGCTCCCTCTGCGCAACTCCTTTCTTCACAGCGCACCGTTCCTTCACTGCTTGAAAAGTTTTCCACTGCCTCAGCATGTGGACTTTTCTAACCCCTCTAGTCCGTAGGAACCCTTACCTGCGGATTTCAGGTATCTTTATCATTGCCAATCATGGCCTATTTACAGTGGAATATACGCGGCCTCGGGTAATCGGGGTGAGCTTCAGATGTTACTCTCCCAGTTTTCCCCTGTTTGTGTTTGCTTACAGGAACCAAAATTACACTCTGCTGTTCTCTCTCCCATCTCAGGCTATAATTTATTGCGTTCTTCAGATCCTTTTCCTGATGGGACCTTTAATGAAAGTGCCCTTCTTCTACACACTGATATTCCGTACCATCAGCTATTTGTTCATACTTTGCTGCATTACACAGCAACCCGTATCCACTTGCATAGGTGGTATACGCTCTGTTCTTTATATCTCTCTCCTTCTCGGGCATTATCTATCCTGGATATTGCCCGCTTTTGTTACTTGGCGATTTTAATGCCCATCATTTCCTCTGGGGGGGTCTCACTGTGATTCCCGTGGCATTCAGTTAGAGGCTTTTCTTGCCACCCACCCCCTCCATGTTTTAAATACAGGTACTCACACCCATTTTGATCCTCGGACTCACACACACACACACACACACACTTGCATCGATCTCTCAGTCTGCTCTTCCTCCGCCGCATTAGACTTCACTTGGTCTGTTCTCCCGGACTTACATGACAGCGATCATTTCCCAATCATTCTTACTTCCCCTTCATATTCACCACCGCTTCGCATCCCACGCTGGCAATTTGATCAGGCACATTGGAACCTTTACTCACACCTAACTGTTTTTAGAGAGGTTCCTCCATCGATGAGCTTTTACACCTCTTCTCGTCCTCCGTTTTAACCGCAGCTTCTCATTCTATACCCCAAACTTCGGGCAGGCATTCTCAGAAATGCGTGCCTTGGTGGTCTCCTGCTTGTGCTTGTGCAGTACGTTTGAAACGCGCTGCATGGGGCAGGTACTGGTACAATAGAACCACAGAGAGACTTATTGATTTTAAGCAGAAGCGTGCGATCGCTCCCCGTGTCATCCGTGACGCTAAATGCACTTGCTGGCGAGATTATGTCTCCACCATCACCTCTGCTTCCTCTATGAGTGCAGTCTGGAAAAAAGTACGAAAACTGAGTGGTAAATATTCTCCTGACCCGGCTCCTGTTCTGTGGGTTGCCGGTGTTGAAATAGCAAACCCACTAGATGTTGCCAATGAAATTGGCAATCATCTGGTCCATATTTCTCAGAGACTCCATCTATGCCCCTCATTTCTTTCCTCAAAGTCTGCCAGAGAGTTAGCACCCTTGGACTTTTCTTCTCTCAGAGAAGAACAGTATAATGTGCCTTTTACACTTCAAGAACTGGAGGCAACACTCTCAGCTTGCCGATCATCGGCAGCTGGGCCCGACGACATTCATATTCGTATGCTACAACATTTACATCAGTCAGCCCTTGCAGTCCTATTACGCCTTTACAAACTTATTTGGTCACAAGGAGTTCTTCCACAGCTGTGGAAATCCGCCATTGTTCTCCCTTTCCGCAAACCGGGCACTACGGGACATGAAACCTCCCACTATCGTCCAATTGCTCTTACCAGTGCAGTTTGCAAAGTGATGGAACGCCTAGTAAATAGACGTTTAGTGTGGTATTTAGAGACACACAACAGTCTCTCCACTCGTCAATATGGCTTTCGTAAGGGACGTTCTACCATAGCCCCCCTTACTACGTTTGGGATACGTATGTTCGTAATACCTTTGGGAATAACCACTCAGTTATTGCCATATTTTTTGACCTTGAGAAGGCATATGACACAACTTGGAGGTATAATATTTTAGCCCAAGCCCACTCCTTAGGCCTTCGAGGCAATCTACCATCCTTCCTTAAGAACTTTTTAACTGACAGGCATTTCCGTGTTCGGGTTAATAATGTGCTCTCCCCGGACTTTATCCAAGCTGAAGGTATCCCCCAGGGATGTGTTCTGAGCACAACACTTTTTCTCCTTGCTATTAATGATTTGGCCTCTAGTCTTCCATCAAATATTTGGTCATCACTTTGTTGATGACTTCGCTATTGCCTGTGCAGGCGCTGACTGTCACCTCTTTACAGTTTCTCTCCAGCATGCAGTCGACCGTGTTTCCAATTGGTCCACCACATGTGGGTTTAAATTTTCCAGTACTAAAACCCACCAAATTACTTTCACTAGACGCTCTTGTCATCTCCGATCATCCTTTGTACCTCTATGGCTCCCGTATCCCTGAACATGACAGTTAAGTTTCTGGGCTCCTCTTTGATCGTAGGTTATCCTGGAAACCTCACATTACCTCTCTGAAGGCAACTTGTCACAGCCTGCTGAACCTTCTTAAAACCCTTGCTCATCTTTCATGGGGAGCTGATCATCGAACCCTCCTTCGCCTACATTCCACCCTTATTTTATCGAAACTTGATTATGGTGACCAGATCTATTCAGCGGCATCTCCTGCTACTCTCTCTAGCCTTAACCCCATTCATCACCAAGGATTACGTTTATGCCTTGGTGCTTTTCGCTCTTCCCCTGTCGAGAGCCTCTATGCAGAAGCGAACGTTCCATCCTTATCCGATCACCGTGATGCCCATTGCCTTCGCTACTATGTACACTCTCATGATCTCTGCAATCCGTCCATTTATAGAATGGTCACTGATATTAGTAGACATTATTTGTTCGCCGCCCGTTTACTCCGTCCCTTCTCTCTTCGCCTTCATTCGCTCTTGTCTTCTCTTCAATTACCACCTTTCTATGTTCATATAGCATCTCACTTTTCCCTACTCCCCTGGGAAGTTCCAGCTGTTCGAGTCTGTTCTTTCTCTCACTCGAAAGCCCAACTGTCTACGGTCGCTTCCCGCTCTCTTTTTCTTGACCACTTTCACTCTCATTCTCATGCCATTGCTGTGTACACAGATGGCTCTAAGTCTTTGACGGCGTAGGATTCGCAGCAGTGTTTCCGGACAGCGTCGTACGAAGGCATTTACTATCTTCGGCTAATATTTTTACTGCTGAATTGTATGCCATCCTTGCAGCACTTATCCGTATGGCATTTGTGGTTGTCTCAGACTCCCTTAGTGCTTTACAGGCTATACAGAAATTTGATACGCCTCACCCCTTAGTCCTCCGTATCCAACTTTGGCTATGCCGCATCTTTACCAAGCATAAAGATAGTTTTTTGTTGGGTCCCTGGTCATCTTGACGTACAGGGCAATGAACAGGCAGACACTGCTGCGCGGTCAGCAGTACATGACCTACCAGTTTCATATAGAGGTATTCCATTTACGGATTATTTTGCTGCAATATCTTCACACCCGTTGGCAACACCGTTGGTCTACTATGCTCGGCAACAAACTTCAATCTATTAAACCAAGTATAGGTTACTGGCCGTCTTCTTATCACCAGTGTCGAGGTTGGGAGACTATTCTCTCCCGTCTTCGCATTGGCCATACTCGTCTTACTCATTGATATCTCATGGAGAGGCACCCTGCTCCTCTCTGAGAATTGCCAAGCTCCATTATCAGTCAGCCACATTCTGTTGGTCTGCCCACTTTACCGAGCCCGCAGAATTTACCTCCATCGTCGTCTTCGCTCCGCTGCTCTCTCTACCTTCCCTTCTCGCTGATGGACCCTACCTTTCATCCGGTCTCTCTCATTGCCTTTTTGACAACAACTGACTGACTTCACAAATTCTGATACCTTCAGCCCTTTCTACTTCAATCTCTTGCTACCCTCTACCCCCGTACTATCCCCTGCCCCGCTGTTTTCTGTAACCTACTGATCATCCCTCCTCCCTTCTGCCATCCATACCCTCGCTTCCTTCCCTACCCTGCAGCGCTGTATAGCCCTTGTGGCTTAGCGCTTCTTTTTGATTATAATAATTTGGTGGGAAATGGCCAGTGTAGTAAAAAAAATGTTATACAATAATTGATTTGATACACCCATGAAAGTACTTACTGTATACAAGAGAAGTAATAGTACCTTTGTCAGTTTTTTCCTCTGGTAATTTTTACTGCAGCACCCTTAAAAGTCTGCTACTTTCTTAAACAATGCTTGCATTTAATGCTGAAAATATTCTGAGATGGCCAGTAGCAGAATTTTACTGGAGCAGAACAGAATGGAAGTAAACAAGAAAGAATAAGATAAAAGTGTAATAAACCAAGTAATGCTGAATTTAGCATTTTTAGGAAAAAAATAGATGTAATGGTATTTCTATCAAAAGTTGTATGTGTAATAACTTTCGAGTTGTTTTAAATAGAATTTTCTGGTTTTCCGTAGGTTGATGCAGGAGATGGTTCGTATCCATCTGTAAACACTTGTGTCCATTACCTGAAGATGCCTGATTATTCCTCCGAGAGCATAATGAAAGAGAGGCTTCTTGCAGCCACACGGGAGAAGGGCTTCCATCTTAATTAATTCTTAAAAAATTTATTATGATTATAGACTCAGGTTTAAGTAATAGAGATTTTAAAACCCTTGCTTAATGAAAATCTGTAAGATTGATTGTACTCAACTTCCGAGGACTCTCATAAAATATGCTGTAATTATAAACAGTTATATTAGGAAGAAATGTGAATTAAAACCAGTTTGTTTATTACTCCTTCAAAGGGATTTTTACAGTGAATTAAGGATAAAGTCATATACAATAGTCTTGAGTAGTACTCTGTGTGGAGTGTATCTTTATTAAAAAGTGATTTCAGAGTGCAAATTATGCATGATACCAAATGCTTACAAAAACTTAAATCCCAGACTGACTTTTTAAAGAGAATCCAGGAAAATATTTCTTTTCCCAGTGTGCTAATATAATATTAGCAGCACTCGATGAGAATATGTATGCCTTTCAAAGTGATTGCTTGAGAAAGTGCAAATACAGGCAACAAAATGCAACACTACCTGGCGAGTGGATGACTTGTGTGAATGCACAGAACATTAGTCACCCTAGTGTCTGTACAAGTAAAAATGGCTGGTTTTATAGCTAATTGAAATGTGTGAAAGCAATTTGGATGTTGGTGCCAATCTGCATAAATGTTTTCCAAGAAAATATTTTTCATGAAAGTATAAGTGATATAAATACATTTTTGTTGTTCTGGCAGGTAGTGGTAAGTAGGCTGACAATGGCCAGTTGTTGTTTTATGTTGTCACCATTAGCTTATGTCTTTCTGTGATAACTGATGTGAAGGCATTGCATAGGCAGCAAACTGTATATAATGAAATGCATTACAAGAATGCCACTGTTATAGTTATGTCTCTCAGTGTAGCAATTAAGTATTTGTGATTTTGAGTGGAGATTTTACTGTTGAGTAGGTGGTTGTATGGTTGAGTAGCCCTTCTATAATACTTGGGTCTGCTGTTCAGTGTCGGCTATTCTCACCTCGGCTTGTTAGCAAGGATCTCATGATAATTAACTGTAATAAGCCCAATGTAGTAAATGCTTGAATTTGTGATTTGATATATTGTTATAATCCATCCCAAAAATACTTCTTGTCACTTTCTAAAACTTAGTGAACATAATGGTCATGGTTTCGAAGGGTTTGAGATCGTTTGTGGTAGCCAAGACAAGGCATTGACATTGCCTGTACTTGTAGTAATTTCATCATGCTAAGGCAGTTCATGCTAAGTTTACACTTGAAATATTATCACTGACTTGATTGATCTGAGTTTTGTGCACAAGTGTTTAACATAGCTTCTTTGATGAATTGTCAGTAGCAAGTTGAGACACAGTAAAGTAGTGACATTACAGGCTGACAATTCATCATCTTTTCATGAAGATTGTCACAGTCGTGCTCTGTTTTGTGCCTTACATTTTTTCTTTAGTTTTCAATTTCTAAATAATTTTTTTTAAATTATGAGTTTAATGATGCATTTTACTGTCCATTGATCATTTTAGTAAAACTACTAAGTAAAATAATTATTTTTTAAAGTTTAATTAGGTTTTGACAGTACATTTCAGAAGATTTTTTCATGAATGTAAATATTTGAAGGGAATTTCAGCTAAATATGTTGTGCATGAAAAAATCTTTATATTTGTCTGTCGACTTATGTTCTGTTGTACAAGAATTAATAAGTTAAACTACTGAAAGAGATACAGAATGTAGGCATTGAAGATGAGAAGCAAAAATTTTCACAGGCACCTTAAAACAGACCACTGCTGTTTATTAGAGGGATATGCCTGATTGTCTTATCTACAAAAGTGTTTCACATTCACTACAGTAGATAATGGGCTCTGGTGTTTAATTAGAAGCAAATTACACAAGACATTTCTTAACACCGAAGTAAGGTAACGTAAACAATATTGTACTTATTGAATAAGTCACAATCAGTGATAGTAGATGAGAAGATTACACAGCTAAATGAAAGTAATTATTACCAAAAATGCTAGTGTTGAATTTGACATTTTATCAGTATACCAAAAAGATTAGGATAAATGTTAGTATGCAATAGAGTAATTGTGCTTATATTCTAATATTTATTTTGTATTGCTGTATTGTCCTTTATTTTCACCTACAACTCTTGGTATAAACAGTTTGTGCTCAACATGAGCAAGTTTTTTTTTTTTTTTTTTTAAAGGCTGATGCATTATAATTTGGCTCAGTTATACAGTGGACCCCCGCTTAACGATCACCTTCCAATGCGACCAGTTATGCAAGTGTATTTATGTAAGTGCGTTTGTACGTGTATGTTTGGGGGTCTGAAATGGACTAATCTACTTCACAATATTCCTTATGGGAACAAATTCGGTCAGTACTGGCACCTGAACATACTTCTGGAATGAAAAAATATCGTTATCCGGGGGTCCACTGTATATTAAAACTCTTAGCTTTATCACTTTTGCTAGTGCATAATGCACAAATGATGATTATTATTATAATTGTAACTGTTAAACACACAAGGGTGATGTACGATGAAATAATCATTTACTCTGTATAAGTTCAAAGTACATGTACATTGATATGGTGTGCTCGCCTGTATGTTGTTGTAGGGGTCAAGTCTTGCCTCCAGCCCCTGCTTCTCAACTTACTGCTTGCCAGATTCACTCCTCAGCTTCATGGGCCTCTATTGTATCTGCTCTTAAAATTATGTATGGAGCCTGCCTACACCACTTTTGTCAAGGTCATTCTATTTCCTAACCAATGTACTCTCATACATTTCCCTTTTTGTATCCATGGAAAACAATGCATCTCCACAGATGCCTCGCCCACCTGTTTCCCCCTCATCAGTTATTTGGTTCGGCTCGTCTTTCATATACCCTTCCATTGACAGATCCACTCCCTGATGTTTGAACATATTCACTTCCATGCTCCCTCCTTCCAATCTTTCATTGCCTGAATTGTTACCTTTGTCATATATTTGTTTTTTTTCATCACACCGGTCATATCCCACTGAGGCAGGGCGACCTAAAGAAAAATGAAAGTTTCTCTTTAAGTAATGTATACAGGAGAAGGGGGTAATTGCCCCTTGCTCCTGGCATGTTAGTCACCTTTTACAACATGCATGGCTTACAGAGGAAGAATTCTGTTCCACTTTCCCATGGAGGTAAAAGGAAATAAGAACAAAAACTAACAACAAAATAGAAGAAAACCCAGAGTGATGTGTGTATATATATGCTTGTCCACGCCTGTGTAGTGTGACCGAAGGGTAAGTAGAAGTAGCAAGACATACCTGAAATGTTGCATGTTTACGACAAAAAAAAAAAAAAAAAAAAAAAAAAAAAAAAAAAAAAAGACACCAGCAATCCTGCCATCATGTAAAACAATTACAGGTTTCTATTTCACACTCACTTGACAGGATGGTAGCACATCCCTTGGTGTTGCTGTCTATCAAGGTGTGTGTATGTAATTTTTTTTTTTTTTATTAACACACTGGCCAATTCCCACCAAGGCAGGGTGGTCTGAAAAAGAAAAACTTTCACCATCATTCACTCCATCACTGTCTTGCCAGAAGGGTGCTTTACACTACAGTTTTTAAACTGCAACATTAACACCCCTCCTTCAGAGTACAGGCACTGTACTGCTCTAAGTCCGGCCTGCCGGTTTCCTTGAATCCCTTCATAAATGTTACTTTGCTTACACTCCAACAGCACGTCAAGTATTAAAAACCATTTGTCTCCAAACGCGCTCACGCATGCCCGCTGGAAGTCCAAGCCCCTCTCACAAAACCTCAAATATAAATATATATATATATATATAATTATCTATATATATATATTAATATTTTTATATATAATATATACTATAAATTATTAATATATATATTATATATATATATATATATATATATCATAATGTCTATTTCAAAAAGAAAGAAAAAAATAAAACTTTCTAATTCAACACTTTCACCATCACTCATACATAATCACTGTCTTTGCAGAGGCACTCAGATACAACAGTTCAGAAGTCCCTCCAAACTACCTATATCCCAAATCCTTCCTTTGAAGTGCAGGCATTGTACTTTTGATTTCCAGGACTCGAGTCCGGCTAACCAGTTTCCCTAAATCCCTCCACAAAATATTACCCTGCTCAAACTCCAACAGCTCGTCAGGTCCTATAAACCATTCGTCTCCATTCACTCCTATCTAACACACTCGTGCATGCTTGCTGGAAGTCCAAGCCCCTTGCCCACAAAACCTCCTTTACCCCCTTCCTCGAACCTTTTTGAAGATGACCCCTACCCCGCCTTCCTTCCCCTATAGATTTATACGCTCTCCAAGTCATTCTTGCTAAATGACCAAACTACCTCAACAACCCCTCTGCAGACCTCTAATACTTTCAGTAACTTGAGTAACTCCACACCACCACCTAATTTCCACTCCAAATTCTCTGCATATTTACACCACACATTGCTCTTAGACACGACATCTCCACTGCCTCCTCACCGCAGCATTTACAGCCCAAGCTTCACACCCATATAAGTGTGTTGGTACCACTATCTTCATACATTCCCTTTGCCTCCATGGATAATGTTTTGTCTCTCCAGATACCTCAACACACCACTTACCTTTTTTTTCATCAATTCTATAGTTAACCTCATCTTTCATAAACCCATTTGCTGACAAGTCAACTCCCAAATATCTGAAAAATGTTCACTTCTTCCATACTTCCTCTCTCCAATGTGATATCCAATTTTTCTTTAAATCATTTGATACCCTCATCACCTGACTCTTATCTATGTTCACTTCAACCTTTACACACCCTCCAAAACTCATCCACTAACCTTGGCAACTTTTCTTTAAACTTTCCCAAAAGCACCGTTTCATCAGCAAAAAGTAACTGTCAACTACCATTTTGTACTTGATTTCCCATAATTTAATCCCACCCCCCTCCCCAACACCCTAGCATTTACTTGTTTTACAACCCCATCCATAAATATAATAAACAACTATGGTGACATTACACATCCCTGTCTAAGATCTACTTTTATTGGGAAGTAGTCTCCCTCTCTCCTATATACCCTAAACAGCCTCACTATCCACATAACTCTTTACAGCATTTAGTAGTTAACTACCTATTCCATACAATGGCAACATCTGCCACATTGCTCCCCTATCCACTGTCATATGCCTCTTCCAAATCCATAAATTCTATGAAAACTTTCATACCTTAATCTAAATACTGTTTACATATATGCTTCAGTGTAAACACTATCTACACATCCCCTACCCACTAAAACAACCTTGTTCATCTGCAATCCTACTCTGTCTTACCTCTAATTCTTATAATAACCCTACCATACACTTTACCTGGTATACTCTATAAAAATTATAGGGGAATAAGTTTATGATCTCTTTTGTCCTCCTTCCCTTTATATAAAGGAACTATATATGCTCTCTGCCAATCCCTAGGTACCTTCCCCTCTTTCATACATTCATTAAATAAAAATTCCCAACCACTCCAACACTGTCCTCCCCTGCTTTTAACATTTCTGTTATGATCCCGTCAGTTCCAGATGCTCTACCCCTTCATTCTACGTAACGCCTTACACACCTTCCCCACACTCGCCTGCTCTTATTCATTCCTAAAAGATGTTATACCTCCCTGGTCAGTGCATGAAATTGCTGTCTCCCTTTCTTCATTGACATTTAATAGTTCCTCAAAATATTCCCACCATCTACCAAATACCTCCAGGTACTCATCAACTAACCTCCCTACTGTTTTTAACTGACAAATCCATGCATTCCCTAGGCTTTAACTTTATCCCACTCCAAAATTTTTTTTCTTATTTTCAGGAAAATTTTTTAACAATGCCTCTCCCACTATCAATCATTTGCTCTCCTTTTGTATGTTCTCACCACTCTTCACCTTTCTTTTACTCTCCATATACTCTGCCTTCTTATATCACTTCTGCTTTGTAAAAAGCTCTAAGCTACCTTTTTCTCTTTTATCACACCCTTCATTCCACTAATCACTCTTCTTTCCTCCTGCACCCACCCTCTTATAACCACAAACTTCTACCCCACATTCTGATACTGCATTTTTAAAACTATCCCATCCCACTTCAACCCCATATCCTCCCCAACTACCCATACTTGCACTAGTGCACCTTTCTGCCAATAGTTGCTTTTATCTCACCCTAACTTCCTTATCCCTTAGTGTATACACTTTCACCTCTCTTACTTGCTGTTGCCATATTCCTTTAGTCCCATTTACCTCTTACTCTAACTGTAGCTACACCTAAATAATGATCCGATATATCCGTTACCCCTCTGTAAACGTGTACATCCTGAAGCCGACCCATCAACCTTTTATCCACCAATACATAATTTAAACTACTTTCATTACATGCTATATCATACCTTGTATTTATACCATTCATCACACACATACCTAGGTATATATATACAGTAGGGCCCCGCTTTACAGTGTGTCACTTTACAGTGTTCTGCTAATACGGTCATTTTAAATTACGACCAAAACTCGTTGTACGGGTCCCCCCACCTGACTTTCTAATACGGTCACCGTGCCCCACCCGGTTTGTTTACATTCTCAGATCCAAGCACTAAGTCTCTCTTTATTATGTCTGGAAACAACAAATTTCAAGTGGTTTTTAAAAGTTTTCATATTTTATATATACTCTGATAATTATACTTCTGTATACCTGTACTTAAATAAACTTACAAACTGTGCTGGCATGCAGGTACACATTAAAATCAATAAGAGTGTCTTGTGTCTCGAGACGTCATATTAGTAATAATAATAGTCATTAAATGTCGTATATTACGTTAATATACATATTTTCAATAATCCATCTATGATATTTTTTCAAAATTATATAATAAAAACGATGCATAACATATAAAGATGATAAATACACCCCACAATAGAATAAACAAATATGAGATGTGGTAGCCAGATAACTTGTACAAGTGATGGCAAGAATAACATTTTCTCTAGTCTAACGTAAGAGAAAATGTGTTACTGGGGGTAACTGTAGAAAATTATTCCTTTTGTATGTAAGTTTATTCAGGTATACACAAATACAGTTACATAGATTATCATACATAACAGCACAAGTGTAGAGAACCTAGGATAACCCAAAAAAGTCAGACTTATTTCTACTGCCTTCACTCAGTGTCATTTCTTCTAAAAATGGTGTTACACGAGAATGGGAGTGTTCTTTATTAATTGTACCGTATCAATGTAGACAACTTTTACACAATGCAACTTGTACACAAACCGGACATGTACACTGTTTACTAAACTTATGTTCGCCTGGTTTGTTTACATAAGTCTGTGCCTGTCCTCTCATGTACTCATGTTCTCTCTCATTTACTCGTTCTATCTCGTTTACTCGCTCCTGACCCTACATTAAGTAATGAGTGAACTGTATATGCATTTTATTGCTCTGGGATGCTTAAATATAGAATATATGTGAGTGGAATGGCCTGGTATGGTAGCCTGGCTGACTACCATACATACCACACTTGATTTCTTACAATAAATACGACTTGTCACGCCCTAGATTAAAACTAAATATTTTAAGGTAAGTAATGAGTGCCGTGTGTGTGTGTTGTACTTTATTGTTTTTTGTTGCCTAGTTCTATTGCTAACTTAATATGTTAGTGTAAAGTTGTTATCTAGCATTTGTATGCATTTATAAGGGAAAAAAAAAAAAGTGTTCCACTTTATGATTTCCGCTTTACAGCGGTAGCCTGGAACCTAACCTGCCGTATAAGTGGGGCCCTACTGTATCTTCTTTTCCATGGGGAAGTGTAACAGATTTCTTCCTCTAAGCCATGCGTGCCGGGAACAAGGGGCTAGTTACCCCTTCTGCCGATATTACTAAATTTAAAAGGAGAATCTTCGTTTTACCTTTAGGGCCACCCTGCCTTGGTGGGATACAGCCAGTTTGCTGAAAGAAGATACATCATCTTTCAACAAGCCAGCTTTATCCCACTAGGGCAATGACATGATGGAAGGGATGGATTCAGAGGTGTTCCTGTTTGCAGACAATAAAGCTAGCGAGGAGAATACAAGTGGACGAGGATCAGGCAAATCTACCACAAAGGGATCTGGACAGGCTGCAAGCCTGGTCCAACAAATAGCTCCTGGAGTTTAACCCCACCAAGTGCAAAGTCATGAAGCTTGGGGATGGACAAAAGACAGCAAATGGAGTACACGCTAGGGGGTCAAAGGCTGTAAAACTCACTCAAGGAAAAGGACCTTGGGGTGAGCATATACTGAGCACATCTCCTGAGGTGCACACCAACCAACCACTGCAGCACATGGGTGCCTGGCAAGTCTTGGAATAGTGCATCTAAGTAAGGAGTCAGGCGTTCACAACACCATGCATGTTAGGCCCATATTGGAGTATGCAGCAACAATATAGAACCCACACCTGGTCTAACATGTCAGGAAATAGGAGACAATGCAAAAGCTTTCAACAAGGCTAGTCCCAGAGATTAGGGGTATGCCATACCAGGAGGTTAAGCAAACTCAACCTGACAACACTTGGGGACAGGGGAAATAGTGGGACATGATAATGATGTGTAAAATACTGAAAGGAATTGACACGATGGACAGGGCCAAAATGTTTCAGAGATGGGACACGGGAACAAGAGGACACAACTAGAAGTTAACAACTCATCTGAGTCAGAGGGATGTTAGGAAGTATTCAGCCTTAGTTATCAGGAGTGAAATAATGGAGGCAGGATCCTTACATGGCTTTAAGATGAAGTTAGCAAGGCTCTTGGAGCAGGGCGTGCATGGACCTAATAGCGACCATCAAAGAGGCAGGGCTAGGAGCTGTAACTCGACCCTTGCAACCACAATTAGAGTATGCATGCATACGCACGCACACATCGTGCCGAATGGGTAAAACTTGAGATTTTGTCTTAAATAGCAATGCTCTTTATGACAAATAAGGCAAGCAAAAATTTATGTATGCAATAATTTTACAAAAATCATTCTGAACCTAACGAAAGAATATATATTTCATTGCTTGTTTAAATTGTAAACTTGTCTAAAATATATTTAGTTGGATTAAGCTAAATTAAATTGCACTTATTATAATAAGGTTAGGCAAGTTTTCTAAGGTTCTTTTGGTACAAAATTATTAATTTTTACATTAACAAATTAAAAAGTATATTTTTAAATGTATAAGAGAAAATTATAGAATAACAAACGAGTTCTTGCTAATGGACCAGTTTTTACCTATTTGGCACGACATACATATACACACATGCTGAGAATTACTAAACATCACAGATGATATAGTTAAAGTTTTGGCAGTTAAGATTGAAAACCAAACCTTGTCATTGTGGTTTATACAAACCACCAGATACAACTTCCCAACAGTTCAAGGAACAGCTTTCAAAAACTGACTACTGTCTGGAAAATCTTCCAACCCCAGCCCCAAATATCTTGTTGCTGGGTGATTTCAATTTGATACACCTAAAATGGAGGAATGTGGCAACTAATATTTAAGAAGACTTAACCCCAGGAGGCAGTTCAGATGAAAATTCACACACACGAGCTATTAAATCTGCTACAAATTCACCTTAAGCCAGCAAATAGGGGAGCCAGAAAGACTGGAAAATACATTTTACCTTCACTAATAATGATAATCTGTTATGAAATATAACAGTATCAAAGACATTACAGTCGGATTATAGCATAATCAAAGTACATACACGTATGTGTAGGGCTAACCCACAAAATGAGATCAGTTAAGGGCTCCTCTCTCACCTTAGCATCGGACACACTCGTCTAACTCATACGTATCATGTTCCACTTTGTGAGAATTGCCTAGTTCCAGTTTCTATTTCCCATATTCTATTAGACTGTTCTATCAACAAGCATGCAGAATTTTCCTCCGTCGTCTGGAAGGGACGTTAGGGGCTGTGTGCCAAAGTTTGTATAGTAAAGCAGTTGGTGACAAAAAGTAAAAAAATGATCGTAAGTCAACAGCAGGGCCGTCTGCAAGAAGGGAAGATAAGGCAAGAGTGGTTGGCGGGGTCGGTGGAAGTAAATCCTGCAAGCTTGCTGGTAAACTGGACAGTCCACGAGAAAGTGAAGAACCGAAATAGGAAACAGACAAACCTCACAGAGAGGGATAGGGTGTCCTTCCACGAGAAACCCATGGCGAGTATGGCAGATGCGGAGATGGGAGAGTGCAGTCTCCCTAGTACAGCAAAGGTGGCTACAAACCCAAAAGCAGTTTAATAGAGTGCAATTTGTTATGGTGCATGTCCAACCACTCTTGTTGCCAACGGCCATGAAGATGGGCAGAGATGACGGTAAAATAATCTCTGAACAGAATACCTCTATAGGAAACCGAAAGATCACACACCACTGACCGTACAGCAGCATCCACCTGTTCATTGTCCAGCACATCAAAGTGTCCAGGGACCCAACAGAAAACATCTGTTTTTGCTAGCTACACGGCACAACTTAAAGTTGAATACGAAGGACCAAGGGATGAGGGAAATTGAATTGTTTAATGGCCTGTAAAGCACCGAGGGAATCCGAAATGATCATAAATGCCAAAGGAGACATGTAATATGGAGAAGTGCTATGAGGATGGCATACAACTCGGCGGTAAAAATACTAGCCGAGTCTAACAAATAACCTCAGACAACATCGTTAGGGAACACCGCCATCAGAAGATTTAGAAGTATCTGTATAAACAGTGACGGCATGAGCATGTGACCGGAAGTGATCAAGGAAAAGAGCAAGAAGCAGCTGTAGGTAGGAGAACTTTGGTGCACGGCACTAGGGGAGAACAGACACGAACCGTCGGAACCTCCCAAGGGAAAAGGCAGATGCTACATGAACATACAAGGGAAAGATGATGATGAGCGTTAAAATCACCTAACAAGATACAGAATGCACACACCTCTATTCTTATCACTAAAAAATATATATTAAAGTTCACAATATACACTGATACACACCTGTCTGTCTATTCCTTTGCAGCATTAATTTTCCCACTGTATACAAGGTTTTTTTTCTTCAGCACCACATTTACCATGGTAAGTCATTACAGATTTTTAATTAAGGCCATTGAACTTTAATGTATTTAAAAAAAAATGGATTAGTTACAAAATTATTAGCAATTACTTACCTGTAGCCCTCCTTGTAGGCTATCACAACAAAGGTATAAGAAGTTGAACACTCGTATATAAAAAAATGTTAAAACCTTTATTTAAGTCATATTGCTATTGGTTAAATGTGAAAGAAAAAATACCAACCATCTGAGCAGCTGTTAAAGGCAAGCGAAAAATTCTCATGACAAACTCGGTGGTTATTTTACTTCGTGTATGGCTTGTAATGTCTGGTATACACCAAGGTAAAGAAGAGATTTAAGCAATAATTGATTAGTAACAATTTACCTAAAATACTGGCAATTTATACAACAGTACATATCGACCATCCATTATCCATATTCAATTTAAAGAAGAATGCATATTAAGACTATTTCTAAAAGCCTAAAATAGACAAGCATCTTTATTAAAGCACAAACAAGTCAATACCCAATCTTTCAAGGGTATCTGGAAGAATTATCAGTCATAACATGTTAACAATCAGACATGGAGGGAAGAGAACTCTGTGAACTTCCCAGGAGTATATAACTCTGGAGAGAGCAAGCAGGATGGACTCTCACTCTTCTTCATAGGTGAGGAGGCAGTGTAAGTGGTATAGAAACTATTGCTCTGTTTACTGCAGTAGTGGACCAGCATCCAGACCACCACCACCACCACTAGCAACAGGAAAACGCCAATAGCCACCCAGATGTATACCATCCAAGCTTCATCACCTGGGAAAGAAAAAAAAAAAGCATTTCCTGTAGAGAATCTCTAATAGGAGTAATAGCACAGTTTATATTTGAGCTCTACTTCAAAATCGTACATAATGTAGTGACATCCCATTTATACTGCTCTGTACATTTAAACAAAGAATACAAACATTACAAACTATTATAATCACAGGGGAGCGCTAAACCCGTAGGACTATACAGCGCATGTGGGGGGGGGAGAATGGAAGGTATTCAGGCTCAGTTCAGGGAACCGGAGCACAAATCCAGTTCCCTAGATCAAGAGCCCCTCACCAGCATCAAGGAACTACACATACTATTTAAATGTTTCATTTTTCGTACACAATTTGTTTTATCTCGAGAACAGTTAGAATTCGATCATTAAAAATTAATGAATCTTAATAGAACGCAGTAATCAACACACTGTATAACATTGGGAAATTTTAAGAGCCATGAGGTGCGTGGAAGACCTGAGAGGCTGGGTAATCCGGTTTAACCTAAGGAAGGCAAAGATGGCTTAAATTTCTTTGAATCAAGAGCTTCAAGGCACCCTTCTTTGAAAGGGTACCTTGAAGCTGTGGTGCCACATACTGCATCAGACAGAAGTAACCGAGGCCATGCAATGACCCTAACCATACCTGTGGAGCTGTGGTCCTTCAATGCCAGTGAAGGCACTTTGATCCAAGGAATTACAGCTACCCTTCCCCCTTTTGAATGAATCAGATTATCTGTTCCCAAGTGCTGTATGACTCCCCACCATTCTCATCCTTACCGAAAATACCATCTTAAATCCACTAATATTTTGATAAACTGACTGCCCCAACTCAAGATTTAAATTTTATACCCTCAATTATCCCCAAGCATCACTGACCATTAACACCCCCAACTCCGCTAACCCCTTCCCTTGCATTGCCTGACTCGTGTGAAGCTGCTCTTTTTCTGTTATAATCCATATGGGTTTAGTGCTTTCCAATGACTAATAATGTATAATCATGACCAATACTCATCGCTACTATTACTACCAAGTCCCTCCTCAGACTCATCACTTGCATTAACACCAAAGCACTTGTTTCCCTGCAGGCCAGAGATCGCTATATACTTGGGAAGATCAAAGAGGACCACACTGAGCAGGGACAGACCCGCTCCAGATGGGCAGTACTCTACCACTACCGGACTACATATTACTAAAGATAAACCATACCACGGGTGGAGTTTGAACCCGCGATCAGTCTCAAAACTCCTGATCGCGGGTTCAAACCCCACCTGTGGTATGGTTTGTTTGCAATCGTGTCATTACGATTTCCTGAGTCACGTTAACTAAAGATATGTGCTTCAATTGTAATGAATCCCACACTACAGTTGCAGGTCAAGAAGATGCTAAATTCCATCTATTCAGCTCCAGAAAACAATGACTACCTAATGGCCTCTATATATGTAAGAAAATATTTTGACTGTACACCACAATATATTGCTACAGAAATAAGAAAAAGACAACACCGTAACTGGAACAATACACTGACTTTGTAAATGGTCCAAGTCGGACAGAAACATCGTCTAAGCTCCTCTCTTCTATGTGCGGGTTATTTGTGTATTGCTACAGAAACCAAAAATTATGGACTCAGAGGTCATGCCTTACATTATTATAATTAAAAAGAAGCATTAAGCCACAAGGGCTATACAGCGCTGCAGGGCAGGGAAGGAAGCGAGGGTATTGGGCAGCAGAAAGGGGGAGGGATGATCAGTAGGTTACAGAAAACAGCGGGGCAGGGGATAGTGCGGGGGTAGAGGGTATCAGAAGTAGAAAGGGCTGAAGGTATCAGAGTTTGTGAAGCAAGTCAGTTGTCAAAAAGTCAAAGAGAGTCCGGATGAAAGGTGGGTCCATCAGCGAGAAGGGAAGGTAAAGAGCAGTGGAGCGAAGACGACAAAGGAGGTAAATTCTGCGTGCTCATTAATAAAAGTGGGCAGTCTAACAGAATGTGGCTGACTGATAATGGAACCTGACAATTCTCACAGAGGAGCAGGGCGCCTCTCCACGAGATATCCGCGAGTAAGACGAGTATGGCCAATGCGAAGACGGGAGAGAGTAGTCTCCCAACCTCGACACTGGTGACAAGACGGCCGGTAACCTATACTCGGTTTAATAGATTGAAGTTTGTTACCGAGCATAGTAGACTAACGTTGTTGCCAACGGGTGTGAAGGTGGGTAGCTATTGCAGCAAAATAGTCCGTAAATGGAATACCTCTATATGAAACTGGTAGGTCATGTACTGCTGACTGCGCAGCAGTGTCTGCCTGTTCATTGCCCTGTACGTCAACATGACCAGGGACCCAACTTGGTAAAGATGCGGTGTAGGCAAAGTTGGATACGGAGGACTAAGGGGAGAGGTGTATCAAATTTCTGTATAGCCTGTAAAGCACTAAGGGAGTCAGAGAACCACAAATGATGACACAGGCATAGATGCAATACGGATAAGTGCTGCAAGGATGGCATACAATTCAGCAGTAAAAATATTAGCCGAAGATAGTAAATGCCCTTGTACGATGCTGTCCGGAAACACTGCTGTGAATCCTACGCCGTCAGAAGACTTAGAGCCATCTGTGTACACTGCAATGGCATGAGAATGAGAGTGGAAGTGGTCAAGAAAATGAGAGCAGGAAGCTACCGTAGACAGCTGGGCTTTCAAGTAAGGGAGAGAGAAAGAACAGACTTGAACAGCTGCAACTTCCCAGGGGGGTAGGGAAAAGCGAGATGCTACATGAACATAGAAAGGTGGTAATTGAAGAGAAGACGAGAGCAAATGTAGGCGAAGAGAGAAGGGATGGAGTAAACAGGGGCGGCGAACAAATAAAGAATGTCTACTATTATCAGTGACCATTCTATAAATGGAAGGATGGTGGAGATCATGAGAGCGTACATAGTAGCGAAGGTAATGGGCATCATGGCGATCGGATAAGGATGGAACGTTCGCTTCTGCATAGAGGCTCTCAACGGGAAGAACGAAAAGCACCAAGGCATAAACGTAATCCTTGGTGATGAATGGGGTTAAGGCTAGAGAGGGTAGCAGGAGAGGCCGCTGAATAGATCTGGTCACCATAATCAAGTTTCGATAAAATGAGGGTGGAATGTAGGTGAAGGAGAGTTCGACAATCAGCTCCCCATGAAAGATGAGCAAGGGTTTTAAGAAGGTTCAGCCGGCTGTGACAAGTTGCCTTCAGAGAGGTAATGTGAGGTTTCCAGGATAACCTACGGTCAAAGAGGAGGCCCAGAAACCTGACTATCACGTTCAGGAATACGGGAGCCATTGAGGTACAAAGGATGATCGGAGACGACAGAGCGTCTAGTGAAAGTAATTTGGCGAGTTTTGGTACTGGAAAATTTAAACCCATGTGTGGTGGCCCAATTGGAAACACGGTCGACCGCATGCTGGAGAGAAACTGTAATGAGGCGACAGTCAGCGCCTGCACAGGCAATAGCGAAGTCATCAACATAGTGATGACCAAATATTTGATGGAAGACTTAGAGGCCAAATCATTTATAGAAAGGAGAAAAAGTGTGCTCAGAACACATCCCTGGGGGACACCTTCAGCTTGGATAAAGTCCGGGGAGTCATGCCTTACAGTCCAGCCTTACAGACAAATGGCTGGCAATGACACCAACTAATCTTCCCAAACTGCCAGATTCCTGAATCCTCTCCCTGGCTACTTAACCCTGCATCCAGTTCTCCAGGACTCCGTTCTCTCATTTACTTTATATAATATAGTCTATGCAAATGACTTCCCAGAAACCCAGTTCGACACAATTACGTAACTAATTTCAGTTCACTCCACTAAAAAGTAGAGTGGATCACTGCTCGGAGACAAATGGGGCATCAAGACGAATGCAAACAAATCCACCACCTGTTTGAACTACAAGAACAATCCACCACCAACTATATTGCTCAAAACATCGGATACTTGCCCCTAATACATCAAAATTGTCCTTGATATCAACCTAAATAAATGCCTACACAATTACAAATAATCCCCATACATGTTAAAGTCTCTCAAACTCTTTCGACGGACTACACATTACTAGGGTCTCAGTCCCAGACTTAACATCTCTACAAAGCTCTTGGCCTAGCGCTTTCCCTCACGGCCAGATCGAACCTAAAGAAACTACAACGAATCCAAAACAAGGCCTTGTGCTGGATATTCAACACTAGATAGCACGAACATATTACAAACGAATTACTCAAAACTATGGCAGATCTCAGAGCACTCAATTCTGTTTATATTCCTCCATGCTCGGCTGTGTGGAGTGTGGGCACCGAGATCATTGACAAATGCTTCCCAATCTGTTTGCCGAGCAGAAGAGATTGTGGGTGTTCCGTGGCCTTCGAATTATCTCAGGGGAGGTCGTCTGTGTTGTGGTGGGTCTCAAGTTTGTCGGTTTGTCACAGTCTTCTAATAGACATTAAGGGTTAAGGACTGGTCAGATCGCGCACCCTCATCACGTACACAGAATGAGTTAGTGCTCGGGTTGCTACAGATAGCTATGACAATCTTACCATATTATGGAAAATTTTTTAGGGGTGATTACTTGTACATACCTCAACATTACATGCATACGAGTAATCTCCTTCGGAGACAACTATATTGTTTACCGTAGTCACCCGTGTAGACATGTGAGAAAACTTAACCACCTCTGGTCACTGCAGGTGGCCCCTCGACCCTCACAATCTTATCCATATCTATCCGAGACCAGTATAAATTGGGTAGCACCCTCAAGTACGGTGCTACTAATTAATTGTGGACTGCATATTAGTTTAACTGAATGAAGGGGGGGGTAGGTTACACACGGATATATCCATCAAGGAAAACCACTTGTACATAATCTCACCACTTACCAGATATTCTCTGGTGGTCACTTGATGTAGCTGGATCACTCATTACTTATCCAATTACAACATACCTAACTGGCCAGTATCAGTCTGCTATAACTAGAAGGGTTACTTAACTGTGGG